ATATGCACTGGAGCAAAGAAAGTTTGTTCAATAAATGGTGCTGGGAAAACTGGCTTGCTACCTGTAAAATAATGAAGCTTGACTACTACCTCATACCATGCATAAAAACCAACTCAAAATGAATTAAAGAACTAGACATAAGACCTGAAACCATAAAATATATAGAAGGAAATATAGATGAAACACTACATGACATGAAATTCCTTTCTAAAGCGCATTTGTCTGCACCTGGAAGAACAAGAAGTTTGGTGTATTGAATACAGTGATAGTGTTTCCCTTTAAAAGAATCACTCCATAGTTTCCCCACATAACTTTTTATAAGCCTTTGTGGGCTTGCCTTCATATTCTCTGTTTCAAAAAAATGTTTAGTCATGACCAGCTGTAATTTCCTTTCTATAACCATTTTCAAAGCACAGATTTTGGCTACTGGTCAGGAATCAATTAGGACATTTATGGAAGCTGTAGGTACCCCCTACACTTAGTCTCATTTACATGATGTCTTTGCACTCCAGTAACAAGGAATAGCTTATGGAGCCTTTACTTGGTTTTGCTTCTTGACCTTGACCATTGAGGTTTTAGACAAACATTCTTTTTGGTCAGTGTTGCCATTGTTCCAGAAGTCCTTTCTTTTAGCATGAGAAGATTTAAGGTCATGAGATATGGCATCTTTTCGGAACCAATATCTTTGTTTGGCTTTTTCCTAGAAATTATCTTGTGTGGGCTACCATATTTGCACTACCATTCATTCTTTTTCACTTTTTTGCTCTCATCCCTCTTTCTACCCTTTGCTTGCACACACACACACACACACACACACATGCATATGCACACAGAGGAAAATCTATATGTGTCAGACATTCAGCAAGGGAAAGACAAAGGCACTGAGTTAATTACCCATCATTTACTGCTGCTGAGAAGAGCAGATGGCAGCAGACGATATGTAAATGGCAAGGGGCAGTGAATTATTCGATTTTTTTAGATTAATCGTCAATGACAAAGGAAGTGATTACAGGCTGTGACATTTATACAAATGTATAAAGTACATTACACTAAAAAATAGAGCTTAATATTATTATGAGTATGTCAGTCATATGAACACTATTGTCACAATACAAAGCAACAAATTTTACAATAACCTAAGAATACACTCTCCCTTTCCCTTAAAACTTTAGGGAGTCCCAGACTCTGCAAAAAAAGATGAACTCAGGTCTTAACATCATGAAATAGTACCCCCCTCAAACTTAACCAAGTTAAATAAGCACAAAATAGAAGAACTGCATCATGCAGTAGAACGTGTTTGTTGGAACCTGAAACAAAACCGTATTGTTTGCTCACAACAGATCTGGTGCCATACCAGTGAGTAGACTGTAAAATAGAAAAGGTGCTAATAAAATACAGGCTAGAAATAGAAATTAAAATTAAAGGTGATGTTTGGCTGTAAGGCCCATTTAAGTGGAGAAAGAACAAATTAAAATGGAAAAGAAGAATTGTGTTCCTTTTACATCGAAATCCAACCTTCACAGACACACACATACTGAAAATCTCCCAGTAGTTTTCAAAGTCAAAATGAAGAAATTTCTGGCCAAGTTTCCTTCTATGTAACATACACAAATGTACAAACATGAGCCAAAGAGAGCAGAGACAACAGGGGCGCACACACAGAAAGAGAGAGAGAGACACAGAGAGAGAGAGAGTGCCACCTCTTTGCAGGAGGCAAGCACCGTAGCCTGTATTTTCTGTTGCTTTAATAATTAATTGGTACACCACAAATCAGATGCTTTCCTTTGAGATCAGAGAAACTGACCCATCATCGAAATGTTTTCAGTCACCCCGTTATTAAATCTATATGGTGCTAATACTGGTGAAAAGAGAGGAAGCCGCATATTCGCTGAAAGCGGTCTGGCCACCGTGGTTATGAGGCTACCCCTCTGCGTGAGAGCTTAGTTCCAAATATCAGAATTGAGAAAGGGGATAGTTTAGGGCATATCTGTTTATATGCTACAGAAATACTTTCAAAACATGCAAGGCAAAAGCATCACCAAAATTACTGCTGAGTGCTTCACCATTATGCATTCTTTGTTGACAATAGGGCCACCAGTGTCTGTGAGTGAGTCAGTGAGTGTGTGTGTGTGTGCGCGCGCGCGCGCACGTGTGTGTGTGTGTGTGTGTGTGTGTGTGTGAGAGAGAGAGAGAGAGAGAGAGAGAGAGAGAGAGAGAGAGACTGCACAGTGAAATAGGGTGGGAGTGGGATGGGGGAGGGGCATTATTAGTCAGCAGCAGCAGTACTGGATAGAGCATTTAAGTCTGCCAATCCATTTTGAATGAACGTGGGTTTAAGAATAAAGTGCAGACAGAACCAATCTGCCCTGAAGAAAAGCATAAAATATTACACAAAGAAAGGAGAATATCCAGGGTGGCTTTAATAACAACCCAAACTGGCAGGTGCATGAAGCAAACCATTAGCTTTGTGTACGGATTTTAGAAAATATTATTGTTTTTGTTTGTTTGCTTGTTTGTCTCATTTAACCATACAAAGCAATACTCACAGATGCAACTGATGCCGATCTATGCCTTGCCATAAACATGATGGGCTACACCATTTCACAACTCCCTTTTAAAATTTTATCTGTTTATGGATGTTGTTGGTTATATAAAAGTATGCTTACATATAAGTGACCATCTTTAGTCAAAATTAAGCCCCAAATGTAACCACATTAGCTCCACTCCGATTTTCATGCTTTTCCCTCATACCATCTTTAAATCAAAATATTAAAATATTAGGGAAGGTTGATCACCACCTGGAAACGCTTTGTAAATATCTGGATGCCGTGACAGAAAACAAGAGACAATAATTCTAGCAAAGGATGTTATATAGGTGTGCTCTACCAGCGCTCTGTCCTCTGTACTTTCAGAACACTGGTGCCTGTGCTTTTAAGTCATCACTGACAAGTAAAATTCAACCAAAAAATAATTCTCCCTATAGGCAAAGAGGGAGCTATTCTGGAAGAATTTACATGTCAGAAAGAATTCTGTAAACACATGTAAAATCCTGCAATATTAAAATAGCAGCCCTATGAAGTCAAAGTTGCTTGCTGCTAAGGAATCTTTATTAGGAAATTAATTAAAGTCATCATTTAGCTCCATATAGTTTCATTTTACACAAAACAAAACAAAAATTAGAGGACATATTCGTGCTTAGCAAAAACTATATCAAAAATATACTTTATTTTAAAAAACACTAGAAGGCCTACAAATATTCTGGTTTGAATTATCTTTTGATTTTATTGCAAGTCTCTCTTCCCCAATTAATAGAAAAAGGAAGCGAGAGACAAATGGAAATAAAACTAGTAATCAGACTCTCTGTGAGCACCTAGGCTGCAATTGAGTTTAAAGTGTTCTGTTTGATCAAAATGTTAATAAATAAAGAACATTGAACATATTTTTATAGGTAAACCAAATTTTATTTGCTTGCTAAAAGCTTATAATATGAACATATTTTATGAAGATACTATACAAAATAATAAAGAATTTTGTTTATTAATCTTTCAGATCAAAGTATCATTTGTGGCAAAATCTTAGCAAATCAAAGTCACTGTATTAAAAATAGCTATATGTCTTTTCAAAAAGATATTTTTTAAAAATACAAAATATATAGCATACATAAAAATATGTACATAAGGTAAATTCATTATATAGAGCTTATAAAATAGTGGTTTATGCAGACTATTAACTCTTAAGTGCATTTGTATTCAAAGAATATCTAGAAGGAAATACCTTGGTAGTGAATATAGACGTTAAATAAGATGCCAATAGCTCTAAGTGACATTTAGAGAATATTTTAAAATGATAATTTTGGAATTTTAGGCAAATATATTTTAGGAAATATATCCAAACTTCAAAATTATATAAATCTAATATTATGGATGCTATTAAAGCATTTGTCTACATCAAATGAAATAAATATTTTCAACTAGATATAAAATGGATTAAAATTTTTTCAGTCTATCTGCTCATAGACTATAATGAACCCATGCATTTCAAAGAACACTGAAAGAGAACAGCTAAAATAAAACATTCCCTGAATTCAGAAGACAAAGCCCTAAAATCCAAAAGTCACTTATTGTTTCAGGTTACTCTTTCCTTTGCCTTAATGCATATATTGAAAGCCTCACCGATCTGAGGATAAAATTAAAAGGCTAGGCCTAGCGTGAACAAGTAAACTGCGATATACAGAGGTAAAGTAATATATTTCTCTAGAGCTTATTCTTCTGCCTTTATACTTTAACGTTCAAACTATTATCACTTGTAAAACATTTTCTGTAAGATTTTGCATTTTATGTTCGGATAAACATATATTTTGTGTATTAAATATTTACAACATATGTTATGTACATAATGACTCTCCTTATACCAACACTAAATTATTTGCCAAACACAAAGATAAATTGTTTCCACAAAGACAATGAAAGCAGCCGCTCATTTTTTCTTCTAAAATGTAAGTGAATGAGGTAATATTAATAGTACTTCAAAGTAAGGAATATCTCTAATTTGCCTACTTTTTTTATTTAGAGATGACAAAATGTATTTGCCTTTTGAAAAGAACATCAATTCAAAGAATTATAAAATTCTGTCTTGTAAGAGTAGACATTGCATTTAATCTTTGGATGATTCTTCCAGTTCAACTCAACTGACTCCATTTTTATCAGTTCTATTTTTAAGGATAATACAGAATTTACTATAGCAACCTAAACCCCAGGTAGTTTTCTCTCACTTTCTTTCCTAATCTAACTCAAACCCATGGAGCCCTCTGTTGGAAGGATTTCAAATTGCATTGCCTTGCTTTCATTTGCAGCACAGAAAATGTTTGGAAGGCTAACCCTTTTTATTTTGTTCTAACAATTTTTATTTTAGAGGACATGGTGCACCAGGTTACATGTTGATTCCCAACACAACAGAAAACATTTTATGCCAAAATAATAAAATACATAAGCACATGATACCTTTGTTCCAGAAACTCCAATCTGTGCTGCATTAGTTCGGAGAATGATGTTAAACTAGCAGATTCTACTGCACTCTTCAGTCAGTAAAACACTTGGATGCTTTTTTTTCACAGAAAAGAATTAATACAGCCATCCTATGGTTTAGCCTTTAAGCGTGATCTAAAGACAAGAGATACACTCATCGGACAAGTAATCATTTAAAATAGGTTCTAGGAGCTTTTAAAGTATAAAAATAGGTATACATTCATTTGCAATGACAATATTTTCTATATTAAAAAAAATGAAATCCAAAGAGAAGATTCCTGAACTTTTAAGTGTTATTTATAAAAATATGAGGTTTTCGTTTAGCACATTTTTAATATCAAATTGAGGAGGAAGACTGTTGGCATAGTGGGGTGCCACCTTTCTTGGACAGCTCATGGCCCCCATATGCTGCAAACACCCCTCTGGGTTTCCTGTAGATTTCCTCAACTTATCCAGACTCTTATTTGGTTTCAACAGTGGCAGGTTTCTTATCACTTCCCACCATCCTTATGGCTGCTTCAGCCTCTTCTCCTCAGAGAACTATCCTCACTGATTCAAACATCACTGCTTCCTTTAAAAGGAACATGACACATTTAACTTCATCTTTTATAAAAATCAGTTCTTCTCTACGTGCTAATGGCAATGGCTTTTATGGATAATGTGGATGACTTCTTGGCTGGGTCAAGAAGCATCTTCGTTGGCATTGAATAACTAATTTTTTAATGCATTGTCCTCATGAAAGTTCTCTCTCAGTGCCTGTGGCAGACTGCCAAATTTGAAAAACCCTAAAAGGTTACTCAACAATTTATAGAATTCTCATTCATATGAAAATGCATATTTCAATCATATTTTTAGTTTGTCCATCCATCCAAAAAAAAAAAATAGAGGAATGTACATGTCAGCCTGTCTTCTCCCAAGGACCCTTAACTTATATGATATAGATTTTAAAAACTCTAATTCACCTCAAGAAGTGTTTTTTGCTAGCCTCTGGCAAAGGGCATTAAGTCTACTTTTTAAAAGACTCAATTATTGCGCATTATTTAAGAAGATATAAAGTAGGTTATTGAAACCTCCTCTACATGAAAGAAAATGCTGATCTTCTTACTCCAAAGTCAAACTAAAGCTTATCTTTAGTACTTATCCAAGCATACCTAGTCTCCAACAGACCTAGTTTAAAGCGCATATATATATATATTTTTTCACACATACATATATAACATAGCACCAGATTTATATATTTTTGAGAGAATGAAATAAGAAACATAAACCAGAGGAATAAAACTTAGTCATAAAAATAAACAATGACACTTAAGTCAAAGATTGAGAAGTGAATTTGGGAATAAGCTCAAAAAAAAATCAAGACCACTCTTTTAGCTTTATCCTTTCTCTTATTAAACCTTTCATGGGATTCACTACTGGAGTAATGCTCATGTTCCTTTGCTACAGGAACTGATGTATTTTTATCTTGTTCTGAACAGGGATGGTGTTATAGTGGGGATAATGGCCAGGGAATATTTAACATTGGCAAATATGAGCAAAGTCAACCCAAGGTGTATGAGAAAATAAAATTGGAGTGAAAAAGATCAAAAGAGTGAATGGCATTTTAAAAATTATTTCAAAACTGATCTATGAGGCAAGAAATGGGATTTGTATAAGGTAAGGCTGGTTTCCCTAAACTTGAGTTCATTTGCATAATCCTCAAGAATTGTCTTCAGTAGTTGTAAGTTTAAGATTCCAACTACACAGAGAATGATACTATTCCAACTATATGAAGGAGCAAAATCTTCAACAAAAATTACACTCCAGGTGTTATATATCCATCAGCTAATTCTGGCCACTTGGTCTCAAATTCCGGGCTCAGATAACAGAAACTGGGAAAGCTGTGTTACCCTGCCGAGCTGATTCACCTTTGCTGTCTCATGGATGATGAGTCACGTCCCTGGCCAGCATTGAGCATAGGTAGATCACTGCAGCAATTAGATAATTAGATTTGCATTAGTGTTTTGATAGACTTTGTGATGCCATCTGTGTTCTAGATTTTGAATTCTGAACTAGAAAACCTTCTAGATTAGAACTCCTGAATAAGTCTGTATTTATTTGTTTTTACTCATCAGGTTAACTGTGTTGACATAGTCCAAGAATCAACTGGAGGTGCCCTTCTATCATTTGCATCTTTGCCACTGAAAGTTCTCATTTCAAAAAATAGCTTCACCTTTGGAAGATGAATAAAGTGGTTAAAGAGTATGTCTCTTTCGGGACACACATTAGGTATTTGCATGTGAGGAAGCATCATATGCTAAAAATAATTTGCTTCCCACGACCTTAAACTCCTAATACTGGGGAACAAAGATTGCTCATCAGTGACTAAAATAAGTCACCAGTGCTTGTAAAGAAAATGGTTGTCAGGTACATATAACTAGTGCCCTCATTAAAACATTTTGACAGAAATATCTCATTAACCAAAGTATCAAAGCATATTATTGATAATATTACCTACCTGTCCTTGCACCAGGTGACAAAGGCGAGCATTTACAGTGCCTATGTTATTAAGATTCTGCAAGTACATATTTTGTCTTTTTATTTCATTGATAAAAAAATAAAAATATTTTCATATGCTCCCATATCTTCTAAAATTAATTTCAAAATTGGAAGAGTTGCCTGGGGTTTCTCCTTTTTGGGGAAAATATTTAGGAAAATTACTTGAGGAAATAATTGAAACCATCAACAAGATGTATAGTACTATTAGTTTTTAACAGATTAAATTTCACTAAATTTAACAAAATTGATAAAATTAGATATAAGGAGAGAAGTCTAATTTGAAAATTGTATTAAGATCATAGCCTTTGAAATTCCTTTATCATTAAAAGGAAAAACTATTTTCTTCTTCTGAGAGAGTAAAGAAGCATTCGATATAGAAATTTAATATTAAATGGCAACCAGACAAATCTCTAAAAATGAATAAAAAGCATTCCCTAGGGTTTTATAAGTTTGTCTAAAGAAATATCCAAGGTTCCCAGGCAGGGAGCTACCCACATGGTGTGCAGACCTCTCCTGTCTCGCCCGCTACTCCACTCAGCAGTGTATTTCAGTAGATCTGCCTGTTCTGCTCCCCACTCTGTCTCTGGTGAATCCTCTCACACCTCCGCCCCAGCATCTCTGTCCTCTGCCCCAGCTCTGGTATGCATAAATAAATAAATATTTAAAAAATACACAAAATTCTATAAAGAACAGGGAGTGGTCGCTCTCCAATGGTAGAATATGACAGACCCCCTAATGTCAGCTCTTTACAAGTTGTATTTATATTTTTAGGAACCTGGGTTAATGGCATTTAGAAACACCTTCATGTTAAACACTAAGCTTTCATCCAGCATATTCTCATTCATTTTTTTTTCAATTTGTGGAAAAAAACATATCTTCGGTTCATAAACATTCAGGAAAATTCTATTTACATTTAAGAGAGCAAGGGTTTAAACAGGGGGAGAATACACAAGGACCAATCATCCTACCTCTAAACTCTCTCCCAGCTATTCTAGAATTTTGTCAAGTTGATCTCTGTTAAAATGCTTTATTCATCCATTCACTACTGTTTTTAAAGCCTTCAGTGATAAGACGTCAAGGGCAGAATGCTTGCCTCGGCATTTCAGGTGAGGCTGCTAGATAAAATATGGGATATCTAGATAAATTTGAATATCAGACAACATTTTTTTTTAGTATGAGTTTGCAGTATTTGGGGAATGAGAGAACTGAAAAATTATTTGTTGTTTATCTAAATTCACATTTAACTGAGCCTCCTAAAATTTTAAAAGATACCCTGGTCCAACGCCTTTTATTAGTTAATTGTCCTTCCCATGCAGAACAAACCCTCTTCTCCAACCAAAAGTCTCTCCCACACACCTGCATTGCTGTTTCATGCACTTGCTCAGTGATGCGTCTGTCCATCATGGCTTTATTTCTCCACTCTGCCCATTCAAACTCTATACATCTTGAAGACCCACTTCAAATCATATCATTTTCACAAAATCTTTCTTGATTATTCCAGAATGAATTGATATGAAATCACCCTTCACATCACTTACTCAATTGCCCATTGTCTTGTGGTTTATTTCGCATTGTTAGCTTTCAAATTTTATTTCAAGCCAGGATTCAGTTTTAACATTTCCCACTCATAGGCTCACACCCTCAAAAGGTTTTTGAAACCCGGAGGCTCTTTAGCTTGTACATTTGCATACAGAGCCCAGAACATTGCCTGGAGCAGAATATACTTTCACAAAGGGAAGTTAAGGTAAAAGCTGAGGCTAAGAGGGGCACTCAATGTACTTGAAGATTTAAAATGTGATTTTGTTTCATCGTAACAGCTTGGTTATTTTCTCTGTATAATGGCAGAAACTGAAACAAGAGGGTTAAGCAATCTGCCTAAGATAGTAGTAACTGGGGCAGAATTCGAACCCAGGTCTGATTCAGCCATGCCATCACTTAAATGCTTTTGTTACTTGCTGCTGCTGCTGCTACTACTACTACTGCTAAGTTTTGTGATTTGGAAAGCTCTGGAGATGAAAAATCTAGACAGGGCAGCTGAGGTCAAGTAGTCAACTAAGGAACTTTGTCAGAAGCCCAGATTGCAGCTGGGGCGGACTCTGCCATCCTGGGAAAAGCAAGAACAGCTGGGGCAGCAGAAGAGAAAAACCCAGTGCATGGGGTGAAGAAAATTAAGTGGAACAAGTGCAGAGCTGACTCCACATTTCCTGGTAACTGAATGTTTGCAAGCAAACAGCGGTGTGGTTTGGCCAGCCCCACGCTTTTCCTGTAGACTGAAGCTGTTGGGTTGCTGCAGAAGATGGTTGCTTAGAGAAAGGAGGGATGGAGAGATGCAGCATGCAAAGTTGAATTCCCAACAGAAATGAGGCATTTATGTGCAGTAATTACCTGTAGGTCAGCTTCTTAAACAGTAGGAAAGCTCCCAAAAGGTCAGTGAACATTTTTAAAAATTTCAGTGCACATTTGTGCACCACTGCATGTTTTGCTGTTTTTCAGCCCCAAGATTAGCATAAAGAAATGTGGTGATTCTAGAGCCCCAAAGCCTCACCCTGCCCTGTAAAAAACACCATCTACTAGAGAAAGATGCTTTCATTCACCCACCTAGTCTTTTCGAAAGCTTATCTAGTGATAAATTTCATTTATGCCTCCCTACTGTTCGGAGACCTCTGCAGTCAGTCTGAGTGAGATAAGAATAGAGGAGCTGGATTTTTTTTTTCCCTCTGGCTTTTGTGGGCTTCTGACATGGAGGCCTATCATTTAAATATATTTGGTATAGTTAAATGTGAAACATTTGGAAGAAGAACATTCCAGAGCGCATTCACCTGCCCATTTAATAGCCTCAGTAGCTAAGACTAAATGTAAACTGTGGTTGTCAGGATAAGCAATGATCCCCCCACAATGCTAAGACATTATTATAAACTCAGGATCAATAGACATTACAAAGCAGTGGTGCTTTTATTTTCTGCTTTAACCTTTGAGAAAATCAAGGCTTCAGAATATTGAATCGAATCGGATCAGCACATCAGAGATTGCAGACACAGATACAATTAGAGCATCTGTGTGCAGTTGAACAATTATAAATCTTCTTTGTAAGGTGCCTTAGTTTCCTAATCTGTGTGGTTATCCACACAAATAAAGCTTCTCATTGTAAGAGCTTCTTTTGTCTTGATATATAGCAATGTGTATATCCAGTTTAGAGTTATGCTCCATTTTACATATAAGAAAACTAAAGTCAGATAGTATATAAACCCTAGTTGTTGACTAATCTGTTTTCTAGCCAAAATGAGTGACCAAAAACCTTAGTTAAATGCATGAGGCATTATTCATGCCAAAAGAGGAGAATCTGTAATGTCTCAACCAGCTAAACAATCGTATGCTACTGATGACAGCTTGGCTAGTTAAATACTCCTGTTCATTGATAACACTGTAATATCTCTACTAAGGACTGCTCAATTTCTGAAAGACCTGACATCTGTACTTTGTGATCTGGAATCCTTTTCTTCTAAGATTATTTTTCTGTCCATTTGTCACTATTTTTCCATGACCCAAAAGTTCAGACTTGGGTATAGACACGAATGTTTTAGAAGTATGACAAAAGTGAACAGTGGTTATAGAGAGCTGAACTCCTTGGATAAAGCTCTAGTTTATTATCTATCTTAGAAGCAAGACAAATCCTTCAGCATTTCAAGGGCAAACAGATACACTGAAATATGGAATCTTGTCAATAAATGACAGTAACTGGCGAACCATGCTGGCTGGAAAGCAGCTACCAGAGGAGAAGTGATTTTCTTTGAGCTAAACTATGAGTCAGGTGTGCGTGCCCCACCCACATGGACACAGAAAAACACACATCAAATCTTAAGGTAAGCATACACTGAGGTCAAGTCTAATGACACAGCCTAAGATCCAGAAAAAAATTATTTATTTCACCTCTCCTAAATAATGAAGTGCTTGTGAATTATAAATATCATTAAAAATGATGACCACAGAACCAGGGGGAAGAGGGCCTAGAGGTGACCATTCTTACTCAAATGTACTATCTTTATCTATAAGAAGAGGATAAAAGCTGGGCCTTAAGTGAATACAAAAGGCAGTAGCATTGTTTACCATAAACAAGAGCCAACCAATTAAGAGATGATCTGGTGACTAGTCTCAGGTACACAGAGGGCATTTTTATGAAGGTGATGGTGATTGATTGCTGGCCATATTGTCAGAGATCCTGACAGGGATAAATGGGCCAAAAGATAGAGTTTAGTTAAACATAAAGAAATGTGTATCAAGTTTCATGTTGATCAAACACAGAAATGCCTGTCAGGAGAGTGGAAAGTTCATTTCTGGGGCTTTTGTGAACAAAATAAGCAACTAGCATCCAGGTGTCTAAAATGCTACCTGAAAAAACCTGCCTGGTGGCCACATGTTACTTTTTCCCAATTAACAGTTA